TATCACCTTCTGAGGTGGATCATATGCTCATGCTCCAGTGTGAAGAGATGATCACCAATTTGGGTTTTGAAATGAACACTCAAGCTCAATTGGGTTTTGCAAAGGATAATGTGTTTAGGGATAAGAAATGAAATGCTCTTCTTCCTCTTGGGATGTCTTAAGCTTCCATATGACTAGTTATCACAGAAAGATTAATACAAGTGTATGCAATAAAATATTTCTTAATCCTTTTCTTCATAAGTGTTAACCACAAACCTCCTATTTTGCCCCAATATAGGGTCGTTCTTAACATGGTTGTTTTGAAAATTTTCTCTATTATATAGGCTCAAATTTAGCTTGCAAGGGATGATCATGTGTTTGGGATAGTGAAATGATCGTCTTTCATCATTTCAATCCGTGTAATCATTGCGAATATCCCCTATCTCCTTCGGATGAGGTTTTTTCTCACTTTTAGCACTCATTCTTTCATTTTACTCGAGTGTCTAGAGTTGACACTTGATTTTTAGCTCATTTTTCAGATTTTTCCAAAAATCACAAAATTAGAATTAGGATCCTTGGCCAAGCTCAAGAACCTATTTCTAAACCAAAAATAAAATTTTTAAATTTTTCTGAATTTTTTCTTAATTTCATTTGGTCAAAATAAGGGTGAAAGTCAAGAAAAATAGCAAATGGAATCCAAAAATTCCATAAAAATAGTCATTAGTCTTATTTTAAATCTAATGTCATTAATACAGTGTCAATTTTATAAAATTTCAACTGGGAATGTGTTTTTCCCAAATTTGGGTAAAAACAAGCCCAAATTAAATAAAAAATTCAATGGAGTCATTTCTAGTCATTTTTTAGTTGTAGTGTCTTCACAACAAATGATTCTGGAACCTTGAATTGCATAATGGTTGGTCCAATTGCACAATTTACTAAAGAAATGGAAAATCCCCAAAATCCGATTGAAAATTAGGGATTTTTAGCCCAAATTATCAATTTGAAATTATCGAACCATGAGACCATCATTTTTAGGGTTAATCAGTCATGGGTAATCCAATTTTGGCATCAATTTTGCTTAATCAGGTCATCTAGATGTTAAATTGAGCAAAAATCCTAATGATCCGAATTTACAATTTGAGAATTTTGGGTTTAATCGTGACAAAATTAGGGCAAATCTCATATTTGGGTGTGAAATGTGATGAGGAATTCAATTTTGGGATTAAAATAGAAAAATAGGGTCAAAATTGGGTCGAATTTGCGAATTTAGACCAACCCAGGTCGGACGGATCGACCCGACCCGACCTGGGTCGGCCTTTTTCCTCATCCGATTCGCCCAGACCATTCTAAACCCAGAAAAATATCCCGTGCCCGCCTCTTGATCGACTTAATCCAGCCAAATAAGCACGTGTTAATCTCCGATTCCAACTGGAGAATCTCCGGCTGGCGTTGGAGATTCGATTTAACCAATTTGGAGTCAGTGATAACTAATTTTGGGCGGGAAATCAAGCTATAAAGAGAGGAAAAAATCATTACCCAAGGAAGAGAATCTGCTCGAGAAAATTCCAGAGAGAAGAGAGAGAGAGAATTAGTGCGAGAAAGAGAGAGATTGAACGCAAGCGTGAGTAGAGACTCATGAGGCCGAGCAATCGGCACTTTTCCGATCGAAAAAGCACCAGTAAATCGGTCCTACCGTTGAGTTTCCTCACCGGCAAACTTCCAACAAAGCTTACCGTGAAGGCCTGAAACGATGCCTCGGTTGATCAATCCAGAGCTTTCCCGGAGTGAAGAAGCTCATCAGTTTCAAGAGAAAATGTCAAAGAATCACCCTACGGTTGCTGTTTGCACCGAAACTTTAGATTTGATATCCATCGAAGCAGGTAAAGTTCGATCATGTTCACAGTTCGGTAAAATTCCAGAATGGGTGTTTGAGTTTAATCGAGCTCAATCATGCATGTTTCTTTGTGATTTTGCATTTTTAAATGCTTAGAACATGTTTTACATTGTTTGATTGCATTTCTGATTGAAAAAACGCACATGAATCGTCTCGGCCACCATTAAACCTTCTCGCTGGAGCTTCCTTGACCTCACCGGAGTGCCTCTCATGGTCATAAGCCACTCAAGTTAGTTGATTCTCTCTTTGATGGATGTTCTGTCATTGATTTGGATCGTTTTTGACGGCTAGGGCGATTAAAATAAGGATTTGAAGCTTGGAGAAGCATGTTTTGGTTAGTGATGAGTTAGGGCTTTTGAATCGGTTTTTTCGCCGGTCGATAGTAGTCCGGTGGCGTAATGGTTAGGCTAGATTGACAGTGGATGATCAGGACAATACTCAGAACCTAAAACAATGGCAAAAAACTCACCGGAAGGTTGTCGGCAGCAAGCTCAAACCGGCAGCCTTGAGAACCTTCAAACCTGGTTTGTGCCCACCTCCTGCTTGGTGAAATGCCACAATGAGCATGGGGCTAAATCTCACCGTTTCGACGTTGTGCCCGCCGGAGTAGTGGCCGGCGCCGGTGCCGGCCAGTTCAGCTTGACTGAATCGGCCTGAACTGGACCGGTCCGGTTCGCTCCTTTGCGTGGATTTTTCAATAAAAAATAAAAAAAAAATCATAAATTCATAAAAATTAGAAAATTTAGAAAATCTCTAAAAAAATTTCAAAAATTCAATAAAAATTTCAGAAAATTCAATTTTTTTAGAAATTAAGAAAAATTCACAAAAATTTTCTAAAAAAAATTTCATAAAAATCCAAAAATTTCAAGAAAATCATAAAAAATCGAAAATTTTAGAAAATCCATCAAAATCTAAAAAATTCTTAGAAAATTCATAAAAATGAGAAAAATTTAGAAAATTTTTAAAAATTTGAAGAAATCCCAAAATCCCATAAAAATTTTGAAAAAATTTTCAGAAAATAAAAAATCCGACTTAAAAAAAAATCAAAAGCTTCAAAAATTCACAGAATAACCCAAAAACATTGTGGGCAACCTTTACAAGTGAAATTATAATTTTTAGAGGTGCCTAAACGACATTTTTAGAAAATCTTTGGTTTATGTGTTTTTTACCCCTAAAAAACCCTAAAACTCTAAAACAACACACATCACTAAATGAATAAGCCTTTAGGGTTTTACTAGGGTTTGGGTATTTTGAATTGATTTTCATTTTAGAGACTCAAATTAGGATTGTTTTGTTTGATTGCAATTGATTGTGTTTCTTATGTTGATTGATTGAGCTATCATGTTTAGCATGTTTAGTATTAGTTGATAGACCTCAAAAACTCGTGTAACACCTTAGACACATTATATCGTTTTAGGTACTGAAAGGGAGTTAAGGATCTCAATTTGGGATCATTAGCGTAACCAAGTCCCCGTATTCAGAATCTCTAGTTCGCAGAATCGTGGTATTTCTCCCGTACCCCAATTAGGTTTCTAGTCAACCTACCAATAATGACTAGTGGCGACTCCAAATCAAAAAACCTAGATTGAATAGAATGATAAGAAAATCACAACCCGCTGTCACATGAGGTATGGTCTGGGAGAGACCCCCTGTTTGTCTAGTGATGGGATGTATGTGGGACGTATGGGCGAAATATTCGCATCGGACCTTAGTAGCCCATTCGGGGGCAATTTCCCCATTCGCGACAAATGGAAGTACCTCCTTAGCATGCCTCAAAAGGCACGGTGCGATAGGCTTGTCGACTCCACTGGGGAAACTTAAGAATTCTAAGTGGAATTAGGCCTAGATAGAGCAATATGCATGTTTTTTGTGCTCGCGCAAAGATCCCATGTACGTCTCACTAATGATCGTGTTAAATGATTTTGTAGGTGGGAGGTATAAGGGGTGTTGTCTTTGTTGACTTTTGTCTTGCAAGATGCTGTTGGGATTGAATGTGATTTGATTGAATTTTGAAGTGCTGTTTGGTTATTAAATTGCTATGCATGCCTTTAAATTGTTTTAGCATTACACCATTCGCACATACCACCCGTGGCCCAACCCCGGCAACATTGAGGATTAGCCTTAGGAGGTATGTGTTTAGGCGAAACTATGAGCCGATTGCTCATGGGATCATTTAAATGCAATACTAATCACCAAGATGGAATAATATTCCATTACTTTAGGCCGATTGCCTATTGGAATGGAATCCCTTGTCCATTAAGGTGGTGGCCTCGAGCCTTTAGCATATCCTTCCCCTTTTAGGTGTCAAAATCTCACTTGTTGTATCTGTATGTCTTTGTGGTTGGTTTACCTAAAATCATATAAAAATGTTCCGGTGAGTAAGTATCGTTCCATTCCTTTCTCTTTCAATTATGCAAGTTAGTTGACACAATTTGAATAAAATGCCTAAATGATAATCAATGGTTGATCTAAATGCTCTTTTTGTACTAGAATGAATGATTAGGGAAACATGCTCCATTTGACCATTTTTTTTTTAGATAGAATATATAGGTCCATGACGAATTTTCAATGTAATTCGAGTGATGATGTGTCCAAACTATGACATGTATAATTTAATGAACCGAATGTTCATTTTGATGTATTCAAAATTGTAAACCATAGGCTAGGCCTTTATGGTCTAAATGGAGCATGACAAAAGGGCATTTGCATCAAACACTGATTCCATCCTCATTTTCAAGTATATACTCTTTTAAAGCTTAAATGAATTAAATGTGACATTTGTATCACTTTCTGAGTATGTAAATGTACCTTCATTTTACCCTAAAAGGACATATGATTGAAATGGAGGCATTAAAATTAATTGGTAATCCATAGTGACTGATAAAAACTTTCTTTTGAATGCTTTAGATCAAACATGGGGAAATTAGATATATAAGTCATTCCAGTCCCTCGAAAGGAGCTTTTGACATGGTGGGGAAATATGATCAAAGACAACCAGGTTTATGTCAGAGAGAGACTTGGATAACTATCTGAACTTATCAACCTTAAACTTCAAGTGAGCTTAATTCAGGCGTTAGCCCATTATTGGGAAGTTACCACTGCGACATTCTAACTTGGAGAACACGAAATGGTGCCAATGTTAGAAGAGTATAAAGCTACCATTGGGATTGATTTCAAATCAAGAATCATAGAACCCCCGATTGGATTAAAGCCTGCAAGTGTGATAGCTGAATTCCTCAACTTGAAGACTTCTCAAGTGGAAAAGCTGATTAAGTCAAATACTGGGAGATTCTCCTTATCCTTTCTAATGGCAAAGTACTCCAAATTGCCAAAGGAAACTGGGAATATTTCTGCGAAGGTTTTCATTCTTGCTTTCTTTGGGTTTTTCTTATTCCCTATATCAAGAACCGGGTTGAATCCTCTAGTTGCAGTAATTGCTAGGCAAGCCTGCCTAAGGTAGGACTTCTCCAATATGCTTTTAGCGAAAACTATCATCTCTTTGAACAAGTACCAAAGCCAAGAGAAAGGTGTACTCCAAGCTTCAGCCGGATTGCTTTCTATATGGTTCGTTTCACATATTCAACCTTAGGAACGACACATGCGCATTCAAGAAATTTGTTCAGCCGTCAATCCTATTGAGAGGTACCTTAAAATCCAAGAGAAACTACCCAAATACTTCTTCCATGAATGGGCTAACTTCATCAGGGCCTTGACTCCCGACCAGTTCCAATGGAGGATCAAGTGGCCAAAGATAGTCAAAGCTCGGATTACTTGTCAAGAAGGCAATTTGGTGCCATTGCTTGGTTTGAATGGTGGAACCACCTATTGCCCATTAAGAATTGTGCGACAATTTGGAATGATTCAATACATACCACCTGGTTGGCATCCCGAGGAGTTCACATTCGCGATACCACAAGGATCCCTACCGGAAGAAGAAAGTAGAAAGTTGCAAAAAAGAGTTGATAAAATTATCGATTCTTTAAAGAGATCAACTGAGCAAATGGTGAAATGGCCCGAAGATTTGAAAGGAGAGATGAAGCTCTACTTAGCATCCAATGAATACATAAAGTGGTTGAAAGCTAAGCGTCCAATTGACATTGAACCGTATATACCATTGAGTGTTACCATTAACCTCGATGAGCCATATGTCCCAGAGTACATTATGCCGAATACACCTGGTGTGGAGCCATATATTCTTGAAGAAGTTGTGATCGGTGTAGAAGAATGGGAAGCACGGGTTAAAGAATGGGATGGATATGAAAGGGCTGAAGCTACCTTAGCCAGGAAGAAGCCTAGACTTGCTTAAGCTAGTTTCCCCATTTTGATTTGAAGAGTGGTAACACAAACTTTCAAAATTGAAACAATTGCTTGATGAATAAGAGTTTGATGAAATTTTAAACACATTTTCGAAAAAAGAAAGTCACCATGGATTATAATTCTTTGAATTATATGATTGCTTGGGAAAGACATTGATAAAAGTTTTATACAAGGCTAAGACTTGTATGAAAGTTCTTATCCTTGTTAATCACAAGAAAAACCATACAATTTAAAGGATATACGATTTCATGTTTGTTTCATCATGCTAACACCTTATCTTTCTATAAAGCAGGTAACATAGCAACGGAAGAAAGAAGAATCCAAATCCGAACTCGTTCACAAACTAAAATGGCGGAAGAAGAAACTCGTACCTGACTAGCTGAAGTTGAGAACCAAATGACTCAAATGGCCGCCATGATGGCAGAAATGAAAGCTTTTATCATTGCTTCACGAGGATCTTATCCTACCACTCCTAATGCTGGAACTTCCAATGCTACGGAAACTCCTATTGAAGAACTAGTTAGAAGTAAAGAACAAGTCCAAGAGAATCCTTCGTAAGCTACCTCTGAAGTAGTAAATTTGGAAGAAGAGGATCTAGCTAAGAGGATATCTAAAGTGAAAGATGAGGAAGAGTCCAAAAGATTGGCCAAAATTGAAGAATGTTTGGCGAGTCAGGGATATGAACTACAAAAATTCGATAAATTCTCACCGTATACGAAAGTAGTTGTTTCGAAAAATTACAAGAAACAAGAGTGAGTATGATGGAACTGGTTGTCCCAAAAGCCATTTAAAGTACTATCTCCCCAAGATTGCGAGATATTTAGACAACACGCCACTTCTCATTAGCACGTTTCAAGATAGCTTGAAAGGAGCGGCCCTAGCATGATACACCGCACTTGACATAGAAGATTTCACGGAATGAGATCATTTGGCTGGAAAATTTCTCTGCCAATATAAATTTAATGTTGAAGTACTCCCAACTAGGGAAGATCTTGTCAGAATGGAGAAACGAAAGAATGAAGGGTTTCGAGCTTATGCCCAGAGATGGAAAGCTGTCGCTTCGCAAGTAAAACCTGCCATAAGTGAGGATGAGCTTATTGAACTCTTCTTGAAATCGTTGCCAATTGAATATTACGACAAGCTACATGTGTCAGGCTGTCAAATATTCACCATGTTGGTAAAAGTAGGTGAAAGGATCCAGTGGGGATTGAAAGAGAAGAAAGTTCAAGAAACGACAACACGGAGGTCTTATCCTAGGAGAAAAGACAAAGAGCCCGTTCGTGAGGTAGCTATGGTGTCTAGCCCGAACACTCATCAGATGCCATTTCCGAAGCAATCCAACACCGCCTGGAAGAACCCAAGGCAGTTTGAGCTAAAGAAAAGGCCTGTAAGGCAATTCACACTTTTACCGCGACCCCTATCAAAGTTATTACCAATGCTTCTAGAAAGGCATTTGGTGGCAAAAGAGGTGCCCGGAGACAATCCTACAAGGTATACTTGGTATGATGAATCAAAAACCTGTGTACCACATGGGAGAAAGGGGACATGGCGTAGATAATTGTCCCACTCTAAAATACAAGGTTCAGCAGCTCATCGATAAGAAGATACTTAGCTTTCAAGAGCCCGAACCAAACATACATCAGAATCCTCTTCCTGAGCATAATGTGGTAAACATGATTCGGGATGAAGAAGAAATAATTAGGTCTGATGATGAAGATGAATATGAAGCCAAGCTGAAAACTGCTTGATTAGGGGATGCCCGTTTTCGTCATGAAGCACTTCTAAAAGGAGAAATTGTAAACAACTTGGGAGAAGACTTTGGTAAGTATAACTTCCAAGTGAAATATACCCCACCACCATGGGCATTTAAGGATGAAGTAATTGTGCCCAATGGTTGGGGCGGTATGGATGATGAGCTGAATCATGAGAATAAAATTTCATTCGAAGACAAAACGGATCAATATGAAAAAGAGAAGGAAAGGATCCGTCAGGGTGAAAAACATTTTACCCAAGAATCACTCAAGCAGGGTGAAACTGTGGACCTACTTGGTCAAGATAGTGGCAAATATAACTACCACGTCAAATACACCCCACCTCCATGGGCATTTAAAAATGAGGTTATCATGCTTGACGGATGGGGCGGTTCGGACGCGGTTTCAATTAACAAATTAAGTTTTGAGGAAAAGGAATATCGAAAAGAGAAAAAGAAGAAAAAGACTAGCCGAGACGATAGGCGGTTCGTGCATAAAGCATGGAAGTAAGGTGAAGTTCTGGACTTCTTGGGTCAAGATAGTGGCCGGTACAATTATCGTGTCAAAATACACACCCCCTTTCTAGGCTTTTAAGAATGAAATAATCACATCTGATGGTTGGGGTGGAATGGATGTAGATGAAGCCGACAAGAGCATAGTGTCCATGGTCACACCATTTCTAATCAAACTTGATGAAGTGGATAAGTATGAGGAAGAAAAAGGTCATGTTGAACTAATTACCATTCAACTTTCAATTGATCGGCTAGTGATCGAAGAAAATGAGGCACAGCCTGTGATCATTACTTTGCCTCCAAAAGAAAAGTTTGATACTAAGCGCGTGCCTTGAGATTACGCACCTAAAGAAGTTGATGCCATAACTCGATCGGGAAGGTGCTACGTCCTAAAGGAGGGTGAACATGAGAAAAAAGGTGTAACCGAGGAAGATGTGAAGCAGTTGCTGTCAGTCATGAAAACAAGCTAGTATGAAGTAATAGAGCAGCTAAGGAAGATGCCGGCATAGATTTCCTTGCTAGATCTCTTTAAAACCTCAGAAAGTCATAAAATGGTGCCTATGAAACTTCTTAATGAAGTACATGTCCTGGAAACAATCAACGAAGTGCAGTTGGAGGATTTCGTTGGCATTATTCTTTTGAAACATCATATCACTTTCTCTGATGAAGATTTCCCGATGGGTGGACGTTCACACAACAAGGCCCTATACATTGCCGTTAGATGCCGGGGCAAAGAAATATCACATGTGTTGGTTGATAATGGCTATGCACTTAATTTGTGTCCTCTAAGCACGCTGCATCGCTTGGGGATCAGTGAAGAATTTATTAAACCTTCTAAGGTAATTGTTTGTTCATTCGACGGAATGAAGAAAGATGTTATTGGCAATATCGAGCTTGAGGTAAATATAGGCCCTGTGCCCTTCTTAATTGATTTTCATGATTGTGTCAAAGATTTTCACATTTTTGTATTCGGGTTAATAGGTTTTTATTCAATTTGATGTCCTAATGACCTGATTAGGCAAAATTGATGCCAAAATTGAATTACCCACTTCTGATTAACCCTAGAAATGATAGCCTCATATTTCAACAATTTCATATTGGGCACGATTCGCAATTTGGGTTCAAAATTCTTAATTTTCAATCGAATTTTGGGGATTTTTTTTATTTTTATGTCAAATTGTGCAATTGGACCGACCATTATGTAATTCAAGGTCCTAGAATCATTTGTTGTGAAGACACTATGACTTAAAAATGACTAGAAAAAATTTAATTGCATTTTTGGTTCAATTTCGAGTTTAATTTTGCCCAATTTTGGGAAAAACATATACCCGATTGGGATTTTTCAAAATTGATAGTGCATTCATGAAATTGGATTTAAAATAAGACTAATGACTATTTTTATGGAATTTTCTGATTCCATTTGCTATTTTTCTTGATTTTCTCACTTATTTTTATTAAAAGAAATTAAAGAAAAATGCCGAAAAATGCTAAAAAATTAAAGAGCAAGAGATGTGTTGAGGATCCAAGGACCGAGTGATCGGCATCTTCTTCGGCGAGAAAGTGCCGACAAATCGGCTCCGATTGAGGTCTTCCACATCTGGTGAACCTGTGACGAAGATGATCATCTAGGTTTGAAAATGAGTCTCGGCCGGCGCGTCCAGAGCTTTTCCGGCGAAGCTGAGGCCATTTACTAGAAGCCGGAGTATCCAGAAAGAACTCTACGGCTACCAATAAGCGTAACAACTTCGTTTGATCTCTCGACGAAGCAGGTAAAAATCTATCACAGTCACAATTTTTCTAGATTTCCAGAAAATGAGTTTTAATTCAAGATTAACACTTACGCGATTTCCTTGTTGATTCGTAGTTCTTTGATGTCTAAAACAAGTTTTTAATCACATTTTCCATTGCTTGATTACATTTTGGGTGATTAAACTTGCATTTGATCGAGTCGGCCGACATTGAAACCCCTCGCCGGAGCTCGGAGGTCCTCGCCAGAGCTTCTTTTCGGCTATAAGCCGTCCAAGTTAGACTCCCTAGACTCTCTTTGTCGATTTTATATTGATTGGGATCGATCTAGACGGCTAGGACGATTGGAATCAAGGTTTATATTCTGGAAAATCCATGTCGAAACAGTTTACAAGTTAGGGTTTTTGGACCGATTTTTTCACTGGCCGGCGAACGTCCGGCGGCAATCTGATTGGGCTAGATCGGTACCGAAACATATGAACTTGATGATGGTGCAATCAGAACGGCGAGATAGTCGCCGGATTCCGTTCCAAAGTCACAGCCTTGATAATGTTCAAGTCAAAATCGTGCACACCACTTGCTCGAAAAAATACCTCAGTGAAGAAGGCCAAAAACGGTGCCGTTTTGGCAGCGTGCCCGCCGGAGAAGACGATCGGCACCGGCGCCGGTGACATCCGGTTTCGCCAAGCCGAATCGGGTCGAACCTGGCCGGTCTGGTTCATTTCCCGGCGGGAAAATTTAAAAAATAATAATAATAAATAAATAAATTCACAAAAAAAATTAAAAAAATTCAGAAAAACAGAAAATTCATAAAAAAATTTAGAAAATTCATGAAAATTCCAAAATTTTCAGAAAATTCATAAAAATTCAGAAAATACAAATAAAAAATAAATTTTTTTAAAAATCAATAAAAAATTAAAAATTTGGAAAATTCATAAAAATTTTCAGAAAATCATAAAAAATCAATTCTCGGTCAATAAAATTTCCGAAAAAAAAAATCAAAATTTTTAAAAATTCACAGTATGGTCCAAAAACATCGTGGCCAACCCTAAAAAGTGAGATTTGAATTTTTGAAAGTGCCCAAGTGGCATTTTTAGAAAATCCCAAATTCAGGGGTTATAACCCCTAAAAAACCCTAAAACCCTAAAAAATGTGAATCATGAAATGAATAAGCTTTTAGAGCTTCGTTAGGGTTTGAGTGTTTTGATTGATTTTCATTTTTAGAGACCATTTAGGATTGATTGATCTGATTGACTTCGATTGTGCATTTAATACTTGTTTGGTTCTTTCTG